AATCTCCTGAATATAAGCAATGGCAACTTCTTCCTGAACGCATCTCCTTGAGCAAGGGAAACAAAAGCAAAAATGAACACATGGGACTACATCAAACTAAAAAGTTTTTGTACAGTAAAGGACACCATCAACAGAACAAAAAGGCATCCCACAGTATGGGAGAATATATTTGTAAATGACATATCCAACAAGGGGTTAACATCCAAAATATATAAAGAACTCACATGCCTCAATACCCAAAAAACAAATAACCCAATTAAAAAATGGGCAGAGGATATGAAGAGACAATTCTACAAAGAAGAAATTAAGATGGCCAACAGACACATTAAAAGATGCTACACATCACTAATCATCAGGGAAATGCAAATTAAAACCGCAATGAGTTATCATCTCATACCAGTAAGGATGGCCAGCATAGAAAAGACTAAGAACAACAAATACTGGTGAAGATGTGGAGAAAGGGAAACCCTCCTACACTGCTGGTGGGAATGTAAGCTAGTTCAACCATTGGGAAAGCAATATGGAGGTTCCTCAAAAAACTAAAAATAGAAATACCATTTGACCCAGGAATCCCACTCCTTGGAATTTACCCAAAGAATACAACTGCTCAGACTCAAACAGACATATGCACCCCTATGTTTATTGCAGCACTATTTTCAGTAGCCAAGATATGGAAGCAACCTAAGTGTCCATCAGTAGATGAATGGATAAAGAAGAGGTGGTACATATACACAATGGAATATTATTCAGCCTTAAGAAAGAAACAAATCTTACCATTTGCAACAACATGGATGGAGCTGGAGGATATTATGCTCAGTGAAATAAGCCAGGCAGAGAAAGACAAGTGCCAAATGATTTCCTTCATTTGTGGAATATAACAATGAAGCAAAATTGAAGGAAAAAGTAGCAGCAGACTCAGATTCCATGAAGGAACTAGTGGTTACCAAAGGGGAGGGGTGTGAGAGGGCACGTCGGGAGGGAGGGAGAAGAGGATTGAGGGGTATTATGTTTAGCACACATGGTGTGGGGGATCATGGGGAAAACAGTGTAGCACAGAGAAGGCACATAGTGAATCTGTGGCATCTTACTACATTGATGGACAGTGACTACATTGGGGTATGGGTGGGGACTTGATAATATGGGTAAATGTAGTAACTGCATTGTTTTTTCATGTGAAACCTTAAGAGTGTTTATCAATAATACCTTAATAAAAAATTTTTAAAAATATTTTTAATTGGGAAAATATGCTCTTAATAAGCAGCGGCACATAAGTTCATAAAAATATTCTGCTAAATGGAAAATATTAAAATTCTGATTATATCTCTAACTGAAATGTGTAAATATTTGAGCTGAAATATTTTCACAAGTACTGTCTTTTTTTTTTTTTGCCTATATTTGGTTTCTCTTCTTTCTTTAGTTTTGCAAAATAAAGCTCACCAAATAAGTTCCTATTTATAATTTTGGACTCTTTTTTCAAATATAGATATTGCAAAATCTGGTTCAGGATATAGCATTATCCCATTAAATAGGGGCTCCATCAAAAACTTCTTTCCGTAAGTCAAGGTTTTCAAAATATGACTACAGAATTTCAAAATTAAATTATTTACACAATATAAATTCTTACTGTTTAATTTTTTTAAGGCTATTTCCTTGTTTATGTAAGGATAAATTTTAGTGTCTTCCCATTTTCAACTTTGTTTTCAATAATTGCGATTGTAAAGATTAGAAAAGCTAAAGTTACTTTTCCCTGTGTTTGTTGAAAACCATAATTAAAGACTTCTAATTCATTGTGAATAAAAGGCAATTTCTAAAAGCTGATTTGTGGCCAGCAGCAAAGAAAGTGCCATGAATTAGGATTATTTTTTAAATTAATATCAAACTTCATCCTCCAAATATTGTATGTATTTCATTCTTTGTATATGTAAAACTGTGTATAAATTTTGACAATAGTTACCATTTGAATTAATAGAATATCACAGACTTATTACATAGGCATCACAATCCCAAGCACATTTCTGCTCCACAGATTTCTTACTCTAGTAAAAACATTATTTTACCATGATGCTGTGCTCCACCAAAATTTGTATTCATTTTATCATTTGCATTTGTAAGCTTAATTTTTAACGTTATAGTACCATTTACAATAAGGTCAGAAAATTCACCTTTGACACGGTAAACTTCCAAAAGCTTTTCTTTGATTTTGTGAATTGGATTAAACATTTTTGAGGCATTATTGGAATTAGTGGATTTCCTACTTAATTCATCCGCTCTATTATAAAACTGTTTGCAAACTCTTCTGCCAGTGGTGCCAACTCATCAATAGCTATTGCTTTACATTTTTCTTAGGCCCAAGGAAACTCAGAATTATTAATAAGAAAAAATGATTTAGGATAACTGTCATTTGATGTAAATGAAGTCCCGCTGCATGGAGTGATATTTAAATACATCTTCTGCAGCTACATGTGTTTCAATCACATGGACTTGGGCTTAAAGTTATAGGTACAGTTTCAACAAGTGGGGGCCACTTGGGGAAAAGATTCTAAGTGGAAGTAGCAAAAGCATGGACCACAAATGCCAAATGCCAAGCATGTTTTAAAATAATAGGTTACAGTCTTTTTAAAATGATGACCAACTTTTGACAGAAAAGCTGCTGCTTCTTCGGCATATTTCTGTCTTCTGATTGTCTTATAGTCAGTGATAACATTAAGGACCCCTTGGGGGAAAGTATTTTGTGGGTTATATGTTCATTGTCAAACTTTCTTGAGAAACAGAATCAGTACTTGATTTTTATTAAACATGCATACATTAAATCCTTGCTTCTGAGAGTGGTTTGTTGCAAAATAAAATAAGCATAACCAGTAATTAAAAAGTTAAAGACTTACAAGAGAAATAACCAAACTACTGTAGCAGCGGCATCCAGAAACTCTGTAGCAGGACTGCTCAGCTTCTTTTACCCACATGGAATTCACTTAAATTCAATCTTTAATCCCCTACATGTCCTACTAAACCCACTGGCTGTCATCCTGGTGGCTTCATGCCTCTTACAAGGCATGGCATGCAACCATGACTCAACTGGCTGCTATCCCCAGTGGATGGCAGGAGCTGTAGCATCAAATGCATCCAGCACCATCAGGAAAGGAAGCATTTGGCTGTGCTAGCTGCTCACATCCAGATGCCATCATTTTACCAGCCACTGCCCTCGCACTGCCCTTCACGGGAAGATGCAAGGTTCTTTGAGGCTTAAGGTTGGGAAAGGAAAGATGAGCTGTCTTTCAGAGTTGACAGTGTCCAATATACCTGCCTCTTTGTAGGAGATACCATATCAGAAATTGAAATGAGGTAGAGGTCTTACCAAATCTCTTATAATGCAACTATTAATAATGATCCTTCTTAAAAAGGAGAAAATCTAGGACAAATACTAAACTGGACTGGATGCTTGAATAAGCTTAAGCCAGGATGTTCTAGGCAAATCAGAATACATGTACTCTTAAACCTGAAATTGCTTTTGACTCTGACACATGCAACACACCCATAAGTTTTGTCTAAGTTTTCTTCCACGTCTCTCTTGAATTTAACCCCTATTCTCTGTTCTTACTGTATCACCTTATCCTCTTACCAGTTGACTATATATTATTTATAAAATATATTTACTGGTCTAGGATTCATTTTCTCCTTCTATCCATTCTCTTCATACCTACTACACTTTTCTTTCTCCCAAAACTTTTGTGTCTTTTCATTCTCTTGCTGAAAAATCTTTTAATGGCTCCTCATTGTCTTAAGAATAAATTCCAGTGGGGGCTAGGGCTTTAGCATATGAATTTGGGGGGCACACAGACATTCAGTATATAACATGGACATTTAATCCCCAAGAGTGATTAAATTTAAACCTGTCTGTGGGAGAATCTTTTTGAGTGAGCTGGACTTTTGGTCTATAAAACACTATGAATAGCCAAGTTGATTCACCTTGGTGTAAGATCAGCCTTGCTTACTAGAGTTTGGGTCTTCCATAAGTACTAAACAAGATCGATTTCATGCCATTTTTATAACTCTGATTTCCACTAACAAAGACATTATAAATAAAGTCATAAGGTGTGAGAGTGTGTGTGTATGTCTCTGTGTGTGTCTCAAGGAATCACAACAAACCAGTAACAGTGGTTACTTACAGGGAAGATAGTGGTATTGGAAGCGTGTATCATTATGTATAATCCTGAATTGTTTTAATATTTTTGTAATGAGCATATATTGCATATTATTTATAAAATAGGAAATTGATTTAAAAAATTTTTGAAGAATTCATAGCCCATAAGGCACTATGCTCTTGTATATATCAATAGCCTTCAAGGAGTTTATGGCACTGTATTCCCTTTGAAATTCCCCAAGAAATGTAGAAAATAAAATTCTGGCTTAATACTTTCCCAATGCCACTTACATATTTTTTTTAAATCTTGCCAGAGTAAGAAGATAATCTATGATTGTTTGAGAATAAAAACAAATTTGGAAAGCAAATGATACAGAGGAAAAAAAGGAAAAGCATGGGAAAAGTAGAACTTGTATAAGTGTTTATAAATCATAAAAGCTCTTCATGTAAAAAAATCTGCAGTCCAAAAATCAATGGATTCATAGGCATAAGATCTGAAAAACATTGTGACTAAAATCACTAAAGCTATTAAAATATTAAAATATTTAATTCTTTAAGGATCAAGTAAGTGTTAGCCGTAAAACAAAATGAGAGAACATCTGGAAGGCAAATAGTTTGAAAGATTGAAAATTAAAGAGCAAATGGTGTGCTTAGTGCTACTGAGGGACTTCAGCAAATGGATATAAGCCCATTTGAAAATAAATACAGAGTCAGTGTAATTACAATGAGACTGAAGATGAGTTTAGCATTTATATATCTCCTGGGAAGCTTGGTGAGTCAGAAACATAAAACCAAAGCAAAGGGAGGTTAGTAAAATATTCTTTTCTGTTGTACTGTAGACCGCAAGAAGAGATAAACATACCGATAACTTGCATGGCCGGTTCCACGTCTGTTGTGGCCTCTTCCAACAATGACAGCAGCTTGGCCGATATCTGATGCACGGATTCAATGTTGCTGAACAAGCTATCCACATCCAGCCGACCAATCTGAAGGAACACAAACACTGACCACCAGCTGATGGAGAGAGATGCACTGTATGTATGATGTTTTCTCCTGCTAAACAGTAAGCATTTATATGTCAGCCAACTGATTCTGTAAACATTCTTATTTGAGATTGCTAGAGTGAATGTGCAGTTTTCATGCAAGAAATTGGGATAGTGCCTCTGTAACCTCTGTCTTTTTCTTTATTTTGACTAAGCATTAATGAGTTGACATCTCCGTATTCCTATAAGAACTGGAGTGTGAAGAAAATTTGGGCCACCTAATTGGTATTTTTATTAGCTGTCCTTTATGTGGGTATGTACTAGTGCACATGAATTTAGAATACGGCTTCTGCAGCAGAAGCCAGACCTTACTCTAGGCAAGTAACTTCTTAAAGCTGTTCTAAAGCCACTGACATTCTAAAAGTGGTGACAAGTAGGTGTGCTGAGTTGTTTCCTGCTTTTTTTCTTGAAACAATTGTGAATGCAAACCTTCATCAAACATGTTCTACTAATTAAAGATGCACCATATTTTGTAGCTTCGTGAACACCCTCAAAAACCAGTGTAATCATTCCTAGATCTTAGAGCTGGTGCTTATAAGCATTTATTTACTCATTCACCCACCCTTTCATAAGTGTTCCCTCAGGGCCTTCTGTGTCAGGCATTGTACCAGGAGCGAGGCTCTGTCACAGGCACTGGGTGGTTAGCAGAAGGATGGTCAACTATCCTCAGTCATCCAAGTAGACTCTGGCGAGTTATGTGCCTGATTTTTCTGGATCTTATTTAAGGTCTTTCTCTTGAGTTTAAATCAGATCATCTTTCACAATCAAAAAGTGTTGTTTGGTTCATTAATAGATTGACACAGGCTTCATTGGGCTACCACAGGGAATAGGATCAGGTGTCTTTTATCCATGGTTTACTGCACATGAGATGATAGGTAGATAGCGAGGTCATCAATTATCAAATCATGGAGGAACTACAAAGGTAAAAATCCAGGTTGCTAGTCCAAAACCAGGGCAGGAAAATTAGGGGAGAGAGAGAGGGATTTCAGCTAAGAATCAGGAAAAATGGCCCGGATATTAAGGAAAGTTGAGAATCAGAGATGTACAATAAGAGACAAACCTGCAGGGACTCTGGCGATGAAAGCTAACAACCACAGCTTCCTCATCTACTTAGGGGAGAGGAAGGAGGCAGGCTGCCTATCTTTTTATCTCAACCTTTTTTGATGTTGACCCATCTGTTGTTCCTCACACTGGATATGGATTTATTTTGATAAGGACATTCTGTTACTAAACGTGGCAGCATTACTTCACATTGCACCTGGTTTAAAATTTGGTGATTGTGTCAGTTATTTCTCATTCAGTATTGTCTGGCTGTCCACATTCCGTTCAGTCATCCTGGGAAATCTCTCCCCTTCCATCAGCCTTGTCCTCAAGCTTCAAATTTGTAATCAAATTCTATGTGATTGTATGTAGTGGGTTTATTTCAATACAGGATTATGCAACTTTTTTTCTATTTTTATATATTATGAAGTTATCTATATTTCCCTACTACATTATTACACTGCAATCATCATTAGCTCTTAGGGTCTTCAGCCCACTATCTCATGCAATGTGCCTTTGTTAATAGGATAGGGTGCATGTGGTTCTTCTGCCTGAAATTTAAGAATGTTTGAGACTTTCAGTTTCTAATTAGAAAGTATATTTAATATTATACAAAATATCTAAAGGGCAAAAAACAGTTACATGGTTATTTTTGTTAATAATAATTTTAAATAGCTCAAATGTCCCATCTCTGGCTACCACTGATTCAAAACATTATTTATTCTAAGAAATTGCTTATGCATTGGGTATTAATTAAATGACAATGGTATAAACTTTGCATAGTGCAAATATGCTTTCCAAAAGTCAGTGTGAATCAGATTTTTGTAGATTGATTTTTTTATAGAGGCACTGGTTAAATATTTCTTAAAATTATATTTTGTATCCTAAAGGGCAAAATTTCATCCTCAATTTACTTGCTTTATAAAATAAAAGATATGCTGTAATTCATACAGTGTACCCTATTATTATTTAATTTTGTTGTGGAAACTTTATTTTGAGGAATTTAAAGTCCCTTCATATTTCTATTTCATATATGGCTCCAACTTCTCTTTAAAATATATGAACCAGTTTGAAGATAAGGAAAGTCATGCAGAGGAAAGAGAGGTACAATGCTCCATCCCAGGAAGATCGGGATGGAACTGGAAATGGAAATCATCTTTTGGTCCTGTGCCTCTGTCCATTACCAGTAAATGTTAGTTAATAGAATACTTTGCCATCTCTGCTTGGATTGTTTTGTTTATTCCTGAGTTTTTTCACTAAGTCATCACTTCTGCAATTTTTCTCCCAAGGTCAGAATGCTGCATACGTATCTAATTTCCACTTTAAATTCATTTAGCAAGGATATAATCCTATATTCTGTCTATAATCTTAGCTCAGTGCAACAAATACTAAGTAACAAAAACATAGGTTTTAATTTCATTACTTTCTGAAGGACAGAAAGGATTTAACTGTCATTTGGCCTGGTTTCAATCACCGATATCACATGGGCCCATGGGGACTCTGTGATTCATACAATGAATTTACATTCAGTCATTGCTATGCCAACAAACAAACAAATATCTGATCCAAATTATCTTAAAACTGGTAGATGATTTTATAATTATTGATGTATATTTGAGGAAGCACTTATATATGCTTATTATAATGCTTATTATATCATTTACCAGAAACAGGCAATGTTCTAAGAGCTTAAGTTGAGTTATATTTTAAATGGATTAAAAATTCAGTTTTTGAAAAATAATTTAGTCAAGTATACATTATTCTAAGCCAAGTCCATACATAATAATTCAAATGTAAAACCAAAAAAATTAAAAGTGTTTTTGGAGAAAATTTAGTTCTTTGCTTTACAAAAGTGTTCATCATTATGAAGAATATAATATATACTTCAAATAGCAAGTTCCAATTACACTTAAATAATTGCTGAACTTAGAGTTGCATGCATGCAAAATTCCCCAGGTATAAATAACTATGTAAAGGAAAACATACCAGTGAAAAAGTATCAATTCAGGGGCCATAATCATTGGTATAGAATTACTTTGTTTCCCACAAGAACCTTATGTTTATTGGGTGCAAAGCATTCCTAGAATTTTCCTGCATTCACATCCTTGCCTAAGGTTTTCCATTTGCTCATAAATGCTGTGCCATTAAACATTACAACCTTCAACTCATCTGAAATGTAATATAGTAACAATAGTGTTTGTGCAGTAGTTTTGTCCATCTCTCTGCCCTTTCTGCTGCTTCTGTGGGGAAGCCACAGGTCACCAGATCTATCTGATCTGGTGGAATTGTCTGTCATGGTGCCCTGCTCCCTTTCCCACCCACACAGTGGTGAGCACGTACCTAGCTGGCCACAACAGCTGGCCTAGGATGGGCAGATTCCCAAGGAAAGCCAATGAGAATCTTCACTGATTTTTAATAAATGGTTGTTGGGAAATAGAAGGGCCTGGATTGAAAGCCCTTAGTATGTACATTTCTGTCTTCAGCAGTCATCTTTGTGGAGAGCTTAGCTGTGATAAAGTCAGCACAGGGGGTGAGGCTAAGCCTGATGCCACCATGTTAGTGCCTGGATCTACCTTGCCTAAAGCAAGACATCCTTATTACAATGCTGATAACTTGTCTTCTTATTTAAGCTAATTTGAATTTTTTTACCTACAACCAGTAGGTACAGGTTACTAATATGCTTTTTCTTTATTTCTAGCCAAAATCCCAAAATCTCATTTCCTCTAATAAACCTTTACTGTTTGCTTGATTAGAATTAACTTCTCCCTCTTTTGTGCTTCCATGATTCTTGCATTGTATTACTCAGTGCTTATATTGAAGCCCATTATATATACAGGGAAATTTATTAATTTATCTGTCTTTATGTCAGAACATGAGTTCCTCCAGAACATTTTTTTCTTTGGGAGTTATTTGAATATTCCACTGTGTCTAATACAGTGCTGGGCTCATACGTAGTTACTCAATAAAATTTGACAATTTGAATTATATGTAATCAGTACAGTTCAAATGAGGTATTTACTCTGAGAGAACCATCAGTAAATATTCTTTGTAATCACTCTACTGGGCTCTGAATAACAAGTATGCAGAGATCAAAAGTGGTTTAAAGAAAAAAAAATCAAAATAACCTAATTTGATTGATCAAACTATCAAATTAAGTGTATATTTTATAATTCACTACTTGATTTTATCTACAAAGACAAACTGTTGTGTTCAGTTTGGCCATTAGTATGCCTGGAAAATTCACTGATAGAGACCAGACTTCCCCCTGAGTTTACACTTGGGAAGTTTTTGTTTATTGTTTTCTGTTTAATGAGCCCTGGGACACTCAACCTAGTCACAGGGAGGAATAACCAAGCATTCTTGGGTGTCATGTAGACCTCCAACCATGAGCACCTTTATAAAAGTGAACAGTGAAAGAAGTCTAGGAACAAACTCTTTTTTTAAAGAAACTATTATCACAAAAGTAGTTCATGATCATTGTGGAAAACAAAAGATGGGTAGATAGGTAAAAGAAAGAAAATGCAATTGCATAATTCTACCACAGAGCAATCACCACTGATATTTTGAGATATGTCCTACCAAATTGCTTTTCTGCCTCTGTGCGTACATTTGTAACAAAGATGTATATAATGAAAATAATGTTTTATAACTTGGGTCTTCTTTTTTAACTTAGTATAACATGAACATCTGTTCATGTCATCAGTTTCTATCAATTGCACCATTTTTAATATCAACATTCTGTGGAAATACTGTAGTCTACATAATCAGTCACTAAATCTTTGACATCTAGATAGATCCATATTCACTATTATAGGCAGTTCTCCTGGCTAAACCTTGTTCACACTTGTTATTGTTTCTGAAAAATTTCTTAAGTGAAATTACTGAGCTAAAGTTATTAATGT